GGCTCCTGCTGCTGCTGCTGCTGCTGCTGTGGCTGTGGCTGTGCCTGTGGCTCCTGCTGCTGCTGCTGCTGTGGCTGTGGCTGTGCCTGTGGCCCCTGCTGCTGCTGCTGCTGTGGCTGTGCCTGTGGCTGTGGCTGCTGCTGCTGCTGCTGCTGCTGCTGCTGTGGCTGTGCCTGTTGCTGTGCCTGTGGTTCCTGGTGCTGCTGCTACTGCTCCTGCTGCTGTGGCTGCTGGTGCTGCTGTGGCTGTGGCTGCAACAGCTGCTGCTGCTGTGGCTGTGGCTGCAGCAGCTGCTGCTGCTGTGGCTGTGGCTGCTGCTGCTGGATATGCTGCTGCTGGTGTTGGTGGTAGCATAACTGCTGCTGGTGCTGCCACTGCGGCAAATCCTTGCTACAGTGCTGGTGATGATGGCGGTCCAGTTTCTCTGCTGCTGCTGCTGCTGCTGCTGCTGCTGCTGCTGCTGCAGATTGAAGATGTAGGAACGAAGAACGGAGTCCCGTTGGAGCCCGTTAGGTAGGCGTTGCTGCTGTTGCTGCTGCAGCAGCTGCTGCTGGTTTTGCAGCTAGCTAGCCTCTCGAACTCAAGTCTTTGCTGCCTCTGGCCTCATAGGCGCTGCTGCTGCTGCTGCTGCTGCCGCTGCTGCTGCTGCTGCTGCTGCCGCTGCTGCTGCTGCTGCTGCAGGATAATTGGGTGTGGGCTGTACAGAGGCCCCCAAGATGGTCCTCCTTTCTTTTCTTCAGCGGATCTTCTTGACAAAGCAGAAGAGCGTGAGCTGTCTGTACACTCGAACTGCAGCAGCAGTAGCAGCAGCAGCAGCAGCAGCAGCAGGGAGCCGTGGGCGTCTTTGTGTGCGCAACTGTCTCACTCGCTGCTGCTGCATGCTGCTGCTGCTGCTGCTGCTGCTGCTGCTGCTGCTGCTGCTGTTCGGGTGTATGTACAGCTGTGCTGGAAGAAAAGTCTTTCCTCGAGCTGCCCCCCGAGCAGCAAGAAGAGTTGCTGCAGAGAATATCAGCAGCAAAAGGCCCCCACAAGAAAGGGGGCCCCCCGGCAGCTTACAGCAAAGCAGCAGCAACGGCCTCAGCAGCAGCAACGGCCCCAGCAGCAGCAGCAGCAGCAGCAGAACCCGTAGCAGCCGGCAGCAACAGCTAGAGCATCTGGTGCTGCTGCTGCGGCTTTTGCAACGCCCAGTGCTGCTGCTGCTGCAGTGGCTGCTGCTGCCGCAGCAGCTCGTCTGCTGCAGTTGCCGAAGAAACAAAGCATGCAGCAGCAGCAGCAGCAGCAGCAGCAACTGCAGCAGGACCTGTCACCAGCTGCTGCTGCAGCAGCTCGTCTGCTGCAGTTGCCGAAGAAACAAAGCATGCAGCAGCAGCAGCAGCAGCAGCAGCAGCAACTGCAGCAGGACCTGTCACCAGCGCCCCGCGCGGCTGCTGTCCGTACACCTGAGACTCTTGTTGTTTGAGTGTCTGTCCAAAAACCCCACTAAGGCTTTTGTGGCTGATTAAACCCTAAACCCTAAACCCTAAACCCTAAACCCTAAAGTCTTCCGCGCTACGTGCAGGCCACTCGTAGTAGTAGTGGCCCGCCCTGCTGCTGCAGTAGCTGCACTTCGCATTGCAGCAGCAGTAACAACAACAGCAGCAGCAGCAGCAGCAGTAACAGCAGCAGCAGCAGCAGCAGCAGCAGCAGCAGCCGCAGCACATAGTTTGGCCTGCTGAGCTAAAGGCTCACATCTGCCTGCCTTCAACGGGTACGGCGACGACTGCAGCAGCAGCAGCAGCGCCTACACTATGTACAGCAGCAGCAGCAGCAGCAGCAGCAGCAGCAGCAACGCCTACACTATGCACAGCAGCAGACGCAGCAACTGCTTATCAGGGGGCCCCTTCGGGGGGCCCCATAGTCTGCAAAGAGGAGAGACAAGTAGACCCACAGAAACTCCATTAGAGCAATACTGAGTTGAAGCTGCTGCTGGGTCTGCAGCAGCAGCAGCAGCAGCAGCAGCAGCAGCAGCAGCTGCTGCTGCTGCTGCTGCCACAGGCGCCGTTCAATGGTGTTACTAGACACAACCCCACCACTCGCTGTCCACCCCAGCACTCTCCCTGAGCCTTTCGAGCCACTGCGACTTGGCAGCAGCAGCTTGCTGCTGCACTGCAGCAGACACGCTGCTGGCTGGCAGCAGCAGCAGCTGCTGCTCCGGCACCCACTGCTGCCCCCCCGAAGCAACTCCCCGGAAGGTCACTCTGTATTCCCCGCGCCCAAATCTGCTGCGGTACCTACTAATGCTCTGCAGCACGGGGGCGGGAGCTCCCCTGCTGCTGCTGCTGCTGCTGCTGCTGCTGCTGCTGCTGCTGGCTGCTGCGTGCGCTGCTCCCGACGTTGCAAATACTGCGCCTACGCCGCCGCTGCTGCTGCTGCTGCTGCTGCTGCTTCTTGCTGCAGTAGCAGTGGAGCTTTCTGGCCCAGAGTCCTTGCTTCCACTCGCGGGATCCGCCCCTCCCCTGCTGCTGCTGCTGCTGCTGCTGCTGCTGCTGCTGCTGCTGCTGCTGCGCGCTCCCCCCGCAGCCGCGGCCGCAGCAGCAGGCGCAGCGTCGTGGACGGCGTCTGCTGCTGCTTGCTGCTGCTGCTGCTGCTGCTGCTGCTGCTGCTGCGGGGGCGGCTCCGCCTCGGGCCCCCAGGGCAGGAAGCAGTCAACTCCCAGCTGCTGCTGCGCCTGCTGCAGCAGCAGCTCCAGCCCCGCCAAGTGCTGCAGCGGCTCCCAAGTGTCTTCAGCAGCAGCAAAACCCACCCACCGAACTTTGAACCGAAGGGCCCCCGAGACAGTACTGTGGGCCCCCACAATCCGCTCCACTGCGTACAGCATTTGCTCCTCGGGGGGCCCCCCGGGGGCCCCTCCGGGGCACTCGCTGCAGAGGCGGGGGCCCCCGGGGGGGCCCCTGGGGCCCTGTCGCACAGACCCTCTGCGGTGGATGAAGTGCAGACAGAACCAAGTAAGTCGCTTTCGCCCTGCTGCTGCTGCTGCTGCTGCTGCTGCTGCTGTTGCTGCTGCTGCTGCTGCTGCTGTTCGGCCTGCTGCTGCCCGCGCTGCTGCGCCGGAGCGGCTGCGGCGTCCAGCGGCGGCCCAGCAGCAGCGGCAGAAGCCTCTGCAGCAGCGGCAGAAGCAGCGGCAGCAGCAGGAGACAGGCTGGCGTCCTGCTGCTGCAGCTGCTGCTGCTGCTGCTGCTGCTGCTGCTGCCTAGTGCCCGAAAGCAAGTGAGTGAGGTCAAGGCCCTGAGAGAAAAAGCGAAACGGCGGGGCCCCGTCAAGCACAGGTGCTGCTGCTGCTACTGCTGCTGCTGCTGCTGCTGCTTCTGCTGCTGCTGCTTCTGCTGCTTCTGCTTCCCTTGTCTCCCCTTCTGCTGCTGCTCCCGCTGCTGCTGCTGCTTCTTCGAGCGCCGGCGGCGGCGCTGCTGGCAGCGGAGGTGCGGGCGTGGCTGTGGGAGGTGGAGCAGAAGCAGCAGCAGAAGCAGCAGCAGCAGCAGCAGCTGCTGCTGCTGCTGCTGCTGCTGTTTCTGGCGACGCAGACTCAGGCCCCGGCGCAGGAACTGCAGCCTCCACTGAATATGCTGGATGTGCAGCAGCAGCAGCAGCAGCAGCAGCAGCAGCAGCATCTTCTGCTGCTGCTGCACTTGGTCCACCTGACGGACCGGAATTCTCCGCGCCTGCAGCAGCAGCAGCCGCAGCAGCAGCAGCAAATGCAGCAGCTGCTGCTGCATTTGAAGTCTCCACCGCACCTAAGCTGCGTGCTTCATCTTGCTGCTGCTGCTCGTGGGACAAGTCTGCTGCAGCTGCGTCGGCGACAGCAGCAGCAGCAGTTGCAGCAGCAGCAGCTGCTGCTGCTGTTGCTGCATCTCTTCGCGTGCACCCCGCACTAGCTGGTTCCTGCTGCACTGGCTCTGCTGTCTGCTGCGCTGCTGCTGCTGCAGCAGCAGCAGCAGCAGCAGCAAGGGCTGCCTGCTCTGCTTCTTGTGTCACTGTGTGCACAGCAGCAATAGCAGCAGCAACACTGCGGGACGGCTGCTGCTGCGGCACTGGCCCATCCAACAGCGCAGCAAGAGACTCTATTGCTGCTTCTGCTGCTGCTGCTGCTGCTGCTGCTGCTTCTGCCGCTGCTGCATCTGCTGCAGTTGCGTCTCCCACTGTCAAAGTTGAGCCACCTGCTGCTGCTTCTGCTGCTGTTGATTCTGCTGCTGCTGCTTCTTCTGCTGCAGAAGCTTCCCCAATCCCTCGTGCTGCTGTTTCGGGCCCTGCTGCTGCACCTTCGGCTGAACCTGCTGCTGCTGCTGCACCTTCAGCAGCAGCAGCAGCTGTCGCTGCTGCTGCTGCTGCTGTTGGCTCCTGCAGCGTGGTCCCTGCCCCGTCCGCTGTCTCGGCCGGAGCAGCAGCAGCAGCAGCAGCAGCAGTTGCTGCAGCGATCTCCGCTGCTTCCAGTGCACTCGGTGCTGCTGCTGCTGCTGCTGCTGCTGCTGCTTCTGGAGGCCTTCTCAGCTGCTGCGGCGGGCTGCCCGGGTTGCTGCTGCTGTTAGTGCTGAGGGCGGATCTGCAGACAGAAACGCTAGAGAGGTCAGCAGGCTTACTCGCTGCTGCTGCTGCTGCTGCTGCTGCTGCTGCTTCTGCTGCCTCCGGTGCTGCTGTGCTGCTGCCGTCATGCAGGCTGCTGCTGCTTGCTGCAGTGTCTGAGCATGGTGCTGCAGTTGCTGCTGCGCCTACGCTCGGGCTGACGCTTCTGCTGCTGTCGCTGCTGCAGCTTCGATGAGCTGCGCTCTCGCTGCTGCTGCTGCTGCTGCTGCTGCTGCCTCTGCTGCTGCTGCTGGGGTGGCGGTGCATTTCCTTGCAGCTCCGGGGGGACCGCTGCCGTTGCTGGTGTTGCGGCTGCTGCTGCTGCTGAAGTGGCTGCTTCTGCCTTCCCTCGGTGCTGCTGCTGCTGCTGCTGCTGCCGGTGCTGCTGCCGCGGTTGCTGCTGCTGCTGGTGTTGCCGCTGCTGCAGCGCTGCGGGGGCAACTGCAGCAGCAAGTGTCACTGCTGCTGCCTCGGCTGTGACGCAGCTAGCCCAAAGCGAGGCTGCTGTTTCGCTGGTGACCAGCAGCAGCAGCTGCAAGGCCAGCAGCAGCAGCAGCAGCAGCAAGAGCAGCAGCAGCAAGAGCAGCAGCAGCGCAGCAGCAACAACGAAGTGTTGCGGGGGACCCAGCAGCCAGCAGAAGACTCTTCCCCTTCGTTGTCTCGGGGCTTTTAGGCTGTTGAGTATCTGCCTGCAGCTTTCTAGGCCCGTTGCTGCTGCTGCTGCTGCTGCTGCTGCTCTAGTCGGCAGTTGCGTGAATCAGCTGCCGCTGCTGCTGCTGCTGCTGCTGCTGCTCGTGGGTGGTGCAGAAAGCGGCCATTGAGGGCCAAAGTCCTTATTTTCCTTATTGAAAGAACGCAAAAGAGTTCGCTAGCCTTGCTGGCTTGCGTGGCAGCAGCAGCAGGTGCTGCTGCTGCAGCTGCTGCTGGCACGGCCGCTGCTGCTGCTGCTGCTGCTGCTGCGGCTTGGTCTGCTGGTGAGTAAAGCTGCTGCTCTCCTCTAATTCAGCATTTCACAAATATACAAAATATATCTTTTTAGGAATTCATGAAACGAAGATGGTCGCATACATAAGAAGCTCTCGTGGTACGGGACTAGACCGTGCTGCAGCAGCAGCAGCAGCAGCTGCCGCTGCTGCTGGCTGCTGCTGCTCCTGCTGCTGTGGGACAGGTCCCGCATGTGCTGCTGCTGGTTACTCCAATGGCTGCGCAGGCTAGACAGAGCTTTTGCTTGCATCCGTAGCCTAGGGGGGACTCAGTGGTGGCTGCTGCTGCTGCTGCTTTTGCTGCTGCTGTTGCTGCTGTTGCTGCTGCTGCCGCTGCTGTTGCTGTTGTTGCTGCTGCTGCTAGTCAGTGTGGGGCCCCGCGGAAGCAGGTGACCTTTAATCTAAGCTGCGAGCCTTCCGGACAGTCAGGGCGCGAATGCATGCATCGAAAACCTACGGCGAAGGGTTTAGGGTTTAGGGTTTAGGGTTTAGGGGTTTCTGCGTTGGCTAGGGTTTAGGGTTTGAGTCCTGCGCCTGAGGTGTGGGTTGCTGGTTCACCATTTAGGGTTTCATCTCTGGGCCTGAGAGCCTGCAGGATGAGGGTTTAGGGTTTAGGGTTTGGCCCCTGCACTTGAGGGTTTGCAGCTGAGGGTTTAGGGTTTGCCAGTGAGGGTTTGGGGCCCGGGCTTCGGACTGAGGGTTTAGGGTTTAGGGTCGTGGGGTTTGAACAGTGTTTAGAAACGGAATTGACCCCCTAGGGTTTACGAGGGTTTGGGCTTTGAGGGCTTCTAGGGTTTAGGGTTTAGTGCTGGCGCGGCCCTGGGGTTTAGGGTTTAGGTTCTATTTCAGCTGCTGCTGCAGCCGCTGCTGCTGCAGCCGCCGCAGCAGCTGCTGCAGCAACAGCTGCAGGGGTCTTCTGTAAAACAGTAAAGGATATTTCCGCGCAGCAGCAGCAGCAGCAGCAGCAGCAGCAGCAACAGCAGCAGCAGCACAGCAGCAGCTGCTGCTGCCAGGGAAGCTCCTTCAGTGCTAAACTGTCTTTGTTGATTGGCTGTCAGCAGCGCGGCCCTTTCCAAAGAGTAAACCCCAAACCCTAAACCCTAAACCCCGAACCTTAAACCCTTAGCCCCAAGACCCTAAACCCTGAAGCCCAAACCCTAAACCCTAAACCCTAGGCTGTCCCCTGCCTCGTCTTCCATGATCTTGTCGCTGCTGAGTTCTACGTAAACCCTAATTGGCCTTTCTTGCTTTTGTTTTAACCCGAAACCCTAGGGTTGTAAACCCTAAACCCTAAACCCTAAACCCTAAACCCTAAACCCTAAGCCGTAAACCCTAAGTCGGCCTTTAAAAGACGCGGATTAGGTGTGCCCTGTAAGCCATCGTGACTATTTATATTTGAGTGCAGCAAATAAGTTCGGCAGCAGCACGTGCTGCTGTTGCTGCTGCTTGGCAGCAGCTGCTGCTGCTGCTGCTGCTACTGTCGCTGCAGCTGGTGGCGGTTGCCCGGCTGGGGGCGGCTGCGCTGCTGCGGGTGCTGCTTGCTGCAGCAGCAGCAGCAGCAGCAGCGGCCCGGCAGTGCTGCAGCAGCAGCAGCAGCAGCAGCAGCAGCAGCGGCAGCGGCGGGCGTGGCGTGGCGCGAGGTGTCTGTACACCTGGAGTCAGCCGTCAACACACATGCCGGAGTCTTGTGCTGCTGCTTCGGCCAAGAGTTCGTTTTCTGCTGCAGCAGCAGAAGCTGCGGAAGCAGCAGCAGCAGCAGCAGCGGCGGCTTCTTCGCCCTTGGCGCTCGCGAGCTGCTGCTGCTGCTGCTGCTGCTGCTGCTGCTGCTGCTGCTGCTGCTGCTGCTGGTCGTCGTGTTCCTCGTGCTGCTGGTCCGCAGCAGCGTGGGCGAGGATGGCGCGCCAGAGTCCGGTGTGCAGCAGCAAGTCCTTGACGGAGGCGAGCTGCAGCAGCAGCAGCTGCTGCAGCAGCTGCAGCTGCTGCTGGTGCTGCAGCTGCGAAGGCAGCTCCTGCTGCTTGATGCAGTGCCGCAGCAGCGCAATGTGGTCCAGCACGGGCCCCGTGCCCGCAGCGCGTGCTGCTGCTGCTGCATGCGCAGCAGCAACAGCAGCAGCAGCAGCAGCAACTTGCGGCTCGAGCCCCAACTCGCTGCTGCCGCGCTGCTGCAAAAACCCCGCCAAGTCCGACAGCAAATAAGCCACCACTGCCCGCAAACAGGGCCCCTGCTGCTGCATCTGCTGCAGCTGCTCCTCGTACACCTGAGAGATCTCGACTTCTTCGACTTGCTGCCTCCTGAGGTGTACAGCCAGCTCGTAAGCCTCTCGACACCCCCCGCAGTTCTTGTCGTAAAAGTAATGTCTTTGTCCTTTATAATAAACAGCCCATCTTTTGCTTTTTTTGTCTCTTGAAACTCCTTTTACTACTGGCAAGTTCAAGTCCGGACTCTCCAGCAGCAAGTAGAAGTCTGCTGCTGCTTGCTGCTGCTGCGCTGCAGCAGCAGCAGCGGGGGGGGCAGGGGCTGCGGAAGGGGGGGGGGAGGAACGCCC